GAGAAGGGGGCCATAGCTGGTATCCTGGTATCCCGGGAAGCGAGGTGTCCTGCCCTTTTTAATGTCCTAGGCTCCCTTTGTTCTCCTGCCCTCTTCCCCTCTTTCTCCTTCCTGTGTATGTGACTAGGCATTTGACTAGGCCTAGCAAATGCTCAGTGGGATTGCCAGATGGTGGGAAACTGGTGGGCTGAAGGGGGAAGGGCAGGGTGGAGCACCCAAGGACACATTAATTAACAACCTTACACCTTCCTATAGGGATGGGCAATTCCTGGGACATGTTACCTTAGCAACAGGTTGGAGCAGGGGGAGTTCTTGATAAGGCTGGAGGAAGGGCTCTGAAGGAATTAACATTTCAATTCCTCAGGGGACAGTCCCCAATTTCCTGGGACTCACTCAAAATTGGCCTGACTTGATCTGACTTGACTCAATTTACCTCTTTATACTGACTGTTGAATTCTGGCTTCACTGTTACACTTAATTAATGACAGCTACTACCAGCTGTAGTTGTGGGGCAATGGACAATTTTAGAGACAAGAAAACTATGGCATAGAGAGAAAAAGCACTAGCAAATGTCACACAGTGGGTAGCAAAGATGGAATTTGAGCTCAAGTCTGATTCCAAAATCTGTCTATAAGTTTGTAAATCTTTAAATGCAGTATCCCAACAGGCCAAGAAGTTCTCCTATTTGGGCCATTCTGCTACTTTGAGATTTTTGGCACCAAATATGCTTTGAGATTATCTTTGTCCCCATCATGCTCAATTCTACTTCAAACATCTGCATTAGACACTCTTCCAGGACAGTAACAGGTGTGCAGGGTTCTCCAGGGAATGTAGGCAGCCATCAACTTCAAGGATCTCTTGAGAACCTGATGAGATTAATCTGGGTTTTTTTTTTTTTTTCCACTAGTCTCCAATGACAATGGACAGAATTCACTCTCCTTCCAAGTAAAACCACCAATACTCTCCTAGCTATCTCTTACCATGGGCTTTTTGTGTGTCAGGCATTACAGAAGATGCTGTACAAAACTATCACCCTTAATCCTTGCCATTACCAGATGAGGTTGGTACTTATTAACATAAAGATTTTATAGATGAAGAAACTGAGGCTCAGTGACGTTGCCAATGTTACACAGCTAGTAATTGTTAGTCAGGTGTCAAACCTAGGCTCTCAGGTCCAGAGCCTGTGTTTTTAATCACCATGCTGTGCTGAATTCCCAACAGATTTTAATTGAGCACTAGGCACTATATCTGGGTTGGGTATATGTGGGCAAATAACTACTTCCCTGATTTCTAGGAGCTTCTAGTCATCATGACAGGCAAAAGTGCAACTTATGCAGTCAAGGGGGAGAAATAATGTCTATGTGTTTCTGCCCTTTTTCACTCAAATAACTCAATACAATTTCACTCTATAGTTTCTTAAGAAAAGACAATCCTTAATGCTAGGTACTGCAATAGAGAAAAATCAATTCACAGCAAACTATTCTACATTAATTCTAAGCACTGCAAACACACTTATTCATAACAGGTTCATGACAGACATTCCCTCTGCATGCTCAGTGTGAGGTCAGCCAATGGGCAGCGACCAAAGGAGGCAGATTTAAAAGGCTGCTGAAGGAGGCTTTATTGAGACTCACTCCCAGGGGGAACTCAATCAGACCCACAATGTGGACAGGAGAAGGGTATGAGGAGAAACCGCGTGGGGGCTCTACAGGACTGGAATTTTATAAAGCTTATGGCAGGAGGGGAAGGGCTTGGGACAGGAAAAGGTGTTTTTAGAGTCCCTTATCCCACTGGAATTGGTCTGGGGAACTGGCTGAGACCAGGATTGGTTGGGAGACCCTGCTGATTGACAGGTATTAGCTAGGAGATCCTGCTGATTGACGCCTGATTGATGTTTCTTTCCAGTGCTCAGGCTGCTTGGTGCTTTGTTCCTAAGTCACTGCCACTGACCTGACATCTGGACTTTTTTGATGATATACAGCAGCGAATTTCATCTGGCTGCATTCTGCTGGCTTAGGGGAGCAGGGGAGGGGGGAGGGGGGAGGGGAAGGGGAGTGGCTTGGGTGTTGATTCCTTATGAAGGCCACTGTAGGCCTGTAGGATCATCCAGTTGTAGGTCACTCTGACAATTTCACCCATGCTCTTTCCAGCGAACCTGAGGAGGCAGGGAGCAATCATTAATAGAAATCCTATTACTAATATAGGAGTGAGAATGGGAGTTGGCCACATAATGAGGGTTGAGTTTAGCCAGCCTGACCAAGGGTCATTTGATTGTTGTTGTTTAAGCTTTTCATCCAATCAATGACAGAGGAGAGGGTAGGTGAGAGTCGTGAGTTTGGTGGGCCCCAGCATGGTGGAAGTCCAGGACTGGACATTTGGAACATGAGGAATGGATAAAGGCCAGGCAGCGGGTGAGGCATCCCAGCAACCCACTTGGGGGCCCAAATGGATGGAGGGGGGCTTTCAGGAGGACTGGGGTGTCTCCATAGGTCCCGGAGACTTGAACAGGATTCACAGGGTCTATGGCATGCATGTGACTTAAGGATAGACCCCACAGTCGGAAAGGGGCTGTAAAGTCGGGAGAGACCAGGGAACTTACCCCATTCCTGTTGGCCCCGATGAAGAGAGGGAAAGAGCAGCTCAGGAATTTTCCAGGTTCATTTGAAAGGGGAAGGGATGGACTTGGATCCCCTGCGGGAGAAGCCCAAAAATCTCTCCCAAGTTTAGGCACCAGGTGGGAGGTCAGGCAATGGGCAGCGACCAAAGGAGACAGACTTAAAAGGCTGCTGAAGGAGGCTTTATTGAGACAGAGTGGACAGGAGAAGGGTATGAGGAGAAACTGCATGGGGCTCTACGGGACTGGAATTTTATAAAGCTTATGGCAGGAGGGGAAGGGCTTGGGACAGGAAAAGGTGTTTTAGAGTCCCTTGTCACATTGGAGATGGTCTGGGGAACTGGCTGAGACCAGGATTGGTCAGGAGACCCTGCTGATTGACAGGCATTAGCCAGGAGATCCTGCTGATTGACAGGTGTTTCCATTGGTGCCTCATTGGTGTTTCTTTGTGGTGCTCAGGCTTCTTGGTTCTTTGTTCCTAAGTCACCGCCACTGACCTGACACTAAGCTCAAGTGTCAGATCAAAAGTCTCAAGCCTTAGGCTTTAAGACCAGTGGAGGCACACTCAGACCATGGTGATCAGATCAGGATCCAAGTCAGGCTTCTCCTGGGGTGGAGCTGGCAGCCAGTTTAGGAGAGAGTCCTAGGGAGAAGTTGCAGCTCTCACCGGGGTCAAGATGTGGCTGTAGAGTTTGAGAGCGTGAGGAAGAGGCAGCAGAAGATCAGGCAATCCATGAAAAGAGTTGGGATGTCAGTCCAGGTTCTCATCAGGCTCTCTATTGTGAGGGCATCAGTGTGGGCTGGCTGAATGACTGTTCATTTGCTCCACCATTTATACTAAATTTGGGGGCTTCTGACCACCCTTTCAATGCCTATCAGCTGCCCCTGAATTTCTCAGTGATGTCATTTGCCCTGAGGTTAAAACATCTGGTTTGTGGTCCCCATCCTTATTTTTCTTGCCTCTCCCCCTTTTTGGGTGAGGACAACAATGCAGAGATTTCACTCTGAGCTTCTCAGTGTGGGGAGAAGTGACTTGTTTGGGCCCAAAGGGCATACTGGAAGGTTCCGTAGGTGTGCCTGGTTAGACTGCAGGTTTCAAACTGGGGTTTTAAAATGGAGTTGCTTAGGCTAAGGCCTAAGGCCATCCTTGCACTAGTATAATAGAATAGGTAGATAATGTTATAAGTGCTTAGAAAAGGCAATTGGGATCTCAGGACTCCAGAGAAGAAATGACTCAGGCCTGGAGATATAATGCAGTAGGTAGAGTGCTTGCCTCACATGCACAATGCCCTGGGTTCAATCCCCAGCATCACGTACACACACACACACACAAAAAAAAAATGGCTAAATGTTTGGATCAGAGAAAGGGAAGCAGAGATAATGTTGGAAGGCCTCATTGAGAAGGAAATATTTAAGCTGGCACTTGGGAAAGGAGGAGTAAGGTGTTAAGAGCCACAGCCAAGTAATATGATGCATGGCATGATATGATTTTGTTAAGATCTGCATTCGTATGGATATTGGACTCCTGCTGTCCACCTCGGCCTGCTACGGGACTCCTGGAGAGTTCCCATTGGTTGGGGAAGTGCGGTAGGAGGGAATTCCGGAGGAGGGACTTGCGGTTGGGGTCCTGGAGAACCCCACGTGGGTCGGTCCGCAATCTTCCCCAGAGCGGGAGCATACGGAGCATTGGCAGCAGTTTCAAAAATAAAGTTTGTTCCTGCTTGAGTGGCTCCTGATTTTGTGCCCAGACAGACTGTGGCAGTAAGGAGCCGATTTCATTGGCAGAGAAGTTCATCCTGATTTAGGAAAGAGAAAATAACTTGGTGTGGGTGGAAATATTTAATACTCAACAAATATTTATTCACCACCTACTGAGGGCTGAGCACATAAATGTGATTAAGACAGGCAAAGCTACTGGCTTGGAGCACGTGTTCTGGTGGGGAGATAAATGTGCAAACAGTTAAGTGGCAAATTGTGGCAAATGCTGTCAAATGATGAACTAGGTTATAATTGAGAATAACAATGAAGTCGTCTCTTTCCTGGGGTTATGTGAAGGTACCTTTGAAGAGGGAACGTTTGAGCTGAGGCCATTTAAGAAGGGAGACATGACAAGAGTGGAGAAACATCTGACTTAGTCTTAAGGAACAATGTGTGCGAAGGCCTAGTGGGTGGAAGGAAGAATGTCCTATTTGTGGCTGGAGTCTAGAGAGCACTGCAGGGAATGGCAAGATATGAGGCTGGTGAGAGGTGGGGTCTCAGAGGACCTGAGGGGGACCCCAGATTCCATTCCTAACTGCAGCACAAAGCAGACCAAGTCAAGTTTGTACTGATGCTGTGAGGCTGAAAAGTAGGATACTTACAATTAGGCACATATTCTGGGCCGACTATGAAGCGTACTGGTATCTTAGAGCCTCTGAAATGGATACAGAAGCAGATGACAGATTCAGTCACAAGGGATGTATGAGTCCTTCCTTTCCCTGGAAAGTTCTGAGCAGACCCTTCCTGGCTCTGATCCTCAGCAACCCCACCCTGCTTCAGGAAACAGCTGAGGTCAAAGTCTGAAAGGAAAGGGCAGTTCCTCACTAGACAGCCTGCTAGAGGTTTGGGTTGGGTTCCTTTTCAGGCAGGGTGGAGCAGGTGTATGGGTGGGCCTCTAGGAAAGATTATTGTAAGATGGGAGTGTGGAATAACTTAAGAAAGCAAACACAGGTCTGGCTTGGGCCTGTGTGAATGATGGTTAGTGAGTGCCCCAATCCTGAGGGTGTGTTTAGCATGAGTTAGAATACAAACTTTTAGAAGTACTCTGGAACATCAAAATATTAAAGAGTTCTGTTTAATCCCCATCACTATTACAATCCCAGACTTGTGGATTCAGTGGAGAAGGATTAGATGAATGAATAATACATAGATTAATGTGGAAATACTTACTAAGATGTTTGTAAAGGAGAGAGAAGACCTTTTCCTGAGATAACTGGTTTTGTAGTCTTTGCTCTTGACCTTTACCAGGAGGGGGAGCACAAGTTGGGAACTCTGCAGGCCCAGCCCTCCTACCCTTTGGCCACTGGGTGTCAGCACAACAGTTTGGATTAAATCTCTCAATTGCTAAGGGGCATGTAGTTTTTAATAGATTTGCCAGCAAACAAAATATTGGTGATCAAGGCCTTGTTGAGATGGTATTTAGAGAAGTGATGGTAAAAAGAATGGTGAAAATGGAGAGTCATTTCTAGAAAGGAATGGAAAAGGGAGAGATGGGGAGTTAAAGGAGAAATGGCCAAAAGATACTTAAGCAATTAAAAAAAAAACAAAACTTCTTGTCTTTGTAGATGGACAGAATGCCTTTATTTTATTTATTTTTATGCAATGCTGAGGATCAAACCCAGTGCCTCTCACATGGTAGACAAACACTCTGCCACTGAGCTATCGCCCCAGCCCAAGAAGCAATTCTTGAAGTTGTTGAAAGACAGAAACGGCAAAAATAGCTGTCCCCACTAGTGACATAATTATTTTGTGGTGTCTTGGTCCTGGATTTAAAACAATGACAGAATAACACCCAATACTGAATTGTTGCCCCAAACCTGTATCTGTATAGTGATGTGACACTTTTTAGGACACTTTTTAAAATATTTTAAACTCTTTTATTATTTTTAGTTACACATGACAGTAGACTATGTTTTGGCAGAATATACATACATGAAATATAACTTATTCTATTTAGGATCCCACTCTTGTGTGGAGTTTTTCCTGGTCATGTGTACAAATACAAGGCTAGGAAAGTTATGGCCAAGTTTCTTCTGTCTTTTCTATTTCCCCCCTTCCCTTCCTTCCCCTTTGTTGAATTCAATGGATTTCTATTGTTCCTCTCCCCAACCTCCCTGTGGGTTAGCAATCAGAGCCAATCCCAAGAAATGAAAGGCCACATGTTCTCTCTGAAATAAGGACCCTTAATCCATGTATGTTCCAATATGTCTTTTGGTCACCTTATTAGTCAATAATATAATTGATCTTCTAAACTCTTCCATGCTTGAGTTTTCCCCCAAGTCTAGAACTGTAAAGTGATCTAAAAGTGAGACAAAATTACTTTCTTTAGTGTTTTATTTTTAATTTGTATTGGTGCACTATAGTTATACATAATAGATACATTATGACACATTTTACATGGACATGACATAATTTGGTCAATTTCATTCACCGTATTTCCTATTCCCTTACCTCCTCCCTCCCCTGACCAACTTCTTGGCCACTGGTACAGTTTCTTTTCTTAATGGCAACCAGCTTGAGTTCAAATTTTAACTTTACCATATACTGGCTATGTGTCCTTCATGGTTTTGGTTTCTATGGTGCTGGGATTGACCCCAGGGCCTTACATATGCTAGGCAAAAGTGCTCTCACCACTGAGATACATCCAGAACTTGGGTTGTGTGTCCTTTGACATAGCTTCTGTGAGCCTCAATTTCCTTGTCTGCAAAATGGGAATAATAAGTATCTCATAAGACCATTGAGGATTCAAGAGTTTATAAATATAAAGCATCTCGTACATTTGCAAGTGTTCAACAAATGATAGATATTATTACCTTGAGTTAATTTCAGGGCTGATTACAGCTGTGTTTCTCTTGAACAGTTTTGTAAAGGATTTTCAGGCTCAATATCCAGACAAGACTCTAATCCCCTAACCCTATTCTGTCTTATGTGTGCAGGTTCCTGGCATATGCAAACCCTGGACTTTCCTCTTGGACCAAAGTGGGAAGTGTACCAACTAGTCAGAGCCACTGTGGTTTATCGTCAACAACTCCACCTAGCTCACTTTAATTTATCCTGCCATGTGGAGCTCCGGGCCCCACAAAGCCCAACCAACCACTTTCCTTCAGGAAGAAATTCCTCAAAGCCTTCTCTGATGTCTAAAGCCTGGACAGAGATGGACATCACACAACACATTCTGCAGACACTCTGGAATCACAAGCATCACAGGGTCCTAAGACTCCACTTTATGTGTTGGCAGCAAAAAGGTAGCCTGGTTCCTGGAATGCAATGGAATGGCACTTCACCTTTGGACACTGCGTTTGTGCTACTCTATTTCAATGACACTCATAAAAGTGGCCAGAAGGCTAAACTTCCCAGAGGACTAGAGGAAATGTTAGAAAGGGGATCCTCTCTTTTGAGGAGGGTCTAGCAAGCAGGCAGCATCCTACCTAGGTTTTCTGACTCTTCCCAGAAACATTATGGGTCTGCAAATAATCAGTCTGCAAATAATCAGTGTTCCCTTCATTCTTTTAAAGTCACCTTCCAGCAGCTGGGCTGGGATCATTGGATCATTGCTCCTCATCACTATACCCCAAACTACTGTAAGGGATCCTGTCCTCGGGTACTACACCATGGTCTCAATTCCCCCAATCATGCCATCATTCAAAACCTTGTCAATGAGCTGGTGGACAAGAATGTCCCCCAGCCCTCCTGTGTCCCTTATTAGTATGCTCCTATGAGCATCCTTCTGATTGAGGAAACTGGGAATATTCAGTATAAGGAGTTTGACGGTGTGATTGCTCAGTCTTGTACATGTAGATAATGACACACGAACAGCTAGCTCGGGTTGTCCATGTAATTGGAGAATGGCTGGAAATATCAATGTGAAAGATGTACGTGATCTTAAATCTATAGGTCCTATCCCTTGCCCTAAGTATTGTTTCTTTAGTCTCTTCCCCCATTTGTAATCTACTCAGTTGACCTAGTCAAATTTGGTCACTAGAACAAATCTGACCACTATTATTGGTCAGCACAATTAGACCACCAGTCAAGGCCCTTACTGTCTGGATAAGATGGTCCTTTGGAGATGTTCTGTTTTGTCTTTTTTTATTGTGACCTTGTCAAGTCACTGGCCCAACCTGATAGAAGTTTATAAAGTGTCCCACCAAAGCCTGGGAAAGGTGGACTTTTACTAGTGTTCAGCTTCTAAGGCTCTGGAAGATTTGGAGTGGTATTAGTAGCCTGAGATTTTTGTACCCTCTTCCTCCCCTCCTGTCTCTTGTAAATGAATGTCTCCTATTCAGACTGCCTGCTTCTATGCTCCTTCCACCTTCTAATTCTTGGACTTGAGAACTTTGTAGGTAACCGTCTTTATAGGAATCTTCATGTAAACATGTAGGGCTTTTCCTCTCGGCCTCTGCATCTGGGAAAAGGCCCACAGGGAAGCATCACCATGGAGTTGTCTGAGATGGCAAGTACTTCAAAACAACCAGCATTTGTGGTAAAGAGGAGAAAAGCTGTCATTGCTGATTAGTATGAGGGAGATATTTCAAACTTTCTATGGAGCAGTAGGTTTATCACAGGCTGTTTTGTTTTCTTCTTTTTTAAATTGTTTTTCCTTGTTTTAATTTCTTACATACATGATTTAAAGTCCTGTAATTGCACCCAAAGAAAGTTCCTTGGTAGCTCAGAAACCAGGAGGCCTGTTTGGGGAGGGAGAGGAGGAGAGGACTATGGTGGAGGGGGGAGAGAGCCATGCAGAGGCCTAGAGCTGACTTCATTCTGGGCTTGCCTGTTTCATACATCCATTTGGGCTCTGGACATTAGACTTGGGGAGATGGGGATGAATGGAACTCAGTTGTGGGCTAACTGATGCTTTTGTTGTGACTCTATATTCCTATGCTGTATTTAAGTGATGGGATGGAGATGTGTTACAAATACCTTGAGGGAAAAGTAAATATGAGAAGATGAAATTTTTAAATATATTGTGCATGTGTACAAAATAACAGTGTAGAATTATAATGCATTAATAATTAAAATATATTTTTGCTGAAGAAGATGGTGAATATTTGGGGAATTGGGAGAACAGGTGGAAGGAATTTGTTTGCTTTGTTAGCTTTTAGCTATGATTGAGATCATAGCTATGATTGAGATCTCTAATCCCTATGGAGCAAGTCTGCAGGCTCTTCAGAAGTCTGTTTTCTTAAAGGCGAACAGGGCATGTCACTGAGTCCTGGTGAACAGGACTCAGTGACATGCCCTGTTGAGAAAGCCTGGTAAGTCTTTCCCTCTGCCGAACTATTCCTCAATAAGTTAGTACTATTCTTGGTGGGATGGGATTGATTAAGGGTGGGTACATGTGTTTGCAAATGTTAATCCCTATCTTATCCATCATAAATTAACTCATTTTTACCACTCCCTTCTCAACAGTTAATTCTAGCTAGACTAAATATGCTGCAAGCGAATATCTCGCAAGTCTATGTCAGGGCTTAGAATACATAAATGAATACATAAATGCTATTCTTCCCTTTAAGGAATTGTTCCTTAATATTGCTTTATTGCTTTGTCCATCTACCTACTGTAGCTTTAGGAATCAGCTAAGGGTTTTTTTGTTTTTTGTTTTTTTTTTGGGGGGGGGGTTCCCAGTCTCAGTAGCTCCCATGCCCCTCCAGACTCACATAGGTGTCCACTTTGTGTCCACATAGCATTACATGCTCTCCCTCAATATACACTAGTATAACTGTCTATTGCAAAAAAGGATGGAACCCATTTTGAGGGGTTTTACCCGTGTCATACCCCTGTTCTCTATTGCCAGACCCCAGTACCTAATAAGTCATTAACAGAAAGAAAGAATACTAACAATACTTCTTACAGAATGGGAGATCCAACCCAGGGTCTCATCTGTGCTAGACAAGTGGCCTACCCCTGAGCTTTATACCCAATGCAACAGTGACATTTTTGTGGGGGATGCATTCTTCCTGATACAATAATTCAATATTTACATAGTTCACTAATTTTTCATTGGAATAAATGTAATTTATGCATATACTTTGTACATAAATTAAGATGATTAATATTTGTGCCCCATTTCAAAAGCATGCTACAAATGTCAATAGAATGTGACAGTTTTGTTACTGAACAAGGCAGTTTATGAAATCACATGTATCTCATTTTGAACTGAGGAGATATGGACTTTAAGTCCAGTCATTTTCCCAGTCTTCCTGGATTATGCACAAATACATAACAGGCCTGAAGATAAACCTTGGTTATAGAATCAGATCCTGAGTTCAGTCTCTTGGTTCTTTGGTATTTGCAGAAAGTCCTGATCTCCTAGCTGTGAGTCCTGAATACCTGTGAAACAATCTGTTTATGGAGTACTCAGTTAATTGGCCCTATTATCCACTAAGTCCAGACTCATCAAAACCCCCAAAGAAATCACTGGCTGTTGGTTTAGTTGAGGTATCCCACAAAATCTCATATGTAAGATGAGATTTAGACGAGAAATGTTTGGGTTTAGAGGAGAAATGATTGGGTTAGGAGAGCCTTAGGGATTAACATAATGTCAACCATAGGCTGGTAGGCTGGTGGCTAGAGGAGGTGGGTCCCTGGGGCATGCCTTTGGGATATCTATTTTGTCATGATGAGCAGAACTCACTCTCTTCTGCTTTCTGGAGGGACGTCTTGAGCCGCTTCCTTCTGCCACACTTTCATGGTGATGTTCAGCTGTCCTTGGGCTCTGAGGAACAAAGCTGGCTCTGTAGACTGAGGCCTCTGAAACTGTGAGCCCCCAAATAAACTTTTCCTCCTCTAAAATTGTTCTTGTCAGGTCTTTTAGTGATAGTGGCAAAAAAGCTCACTACAATACTGGCAGAATGGGGTAAGTTGTGATTGATGTGATGGCCTCTCTTTTCTTTTTGAAATATGGCTTTCAACCAGCATTGTTTCTCAAATCTGAAGAGATCTCTACTCTGTCTCCTTCCTCTCAGAGGAAGGTTTATACATGGTAGTAGAGGAGTGTGTGTGTGTGTGTGTGTGTGTGTGTGTGTGTGTGTGTGTATGCATGTGCATGCGTACTGTGTACTGTGGGGGAACTGTCTGTCCAGAGAGATCTAGTAGGAGAAGAAAAGCAGGAAGGAAAATCCAGAAACTCGGTGAACAGGCCAGAATACCATTTGATGTATGGAAGCAAAAGGAGAAAACATTTGAACTTGCTTCTCGTCCTGGAACCTTGGGGCAAAGTTGAGGAATCGGGCAAAATTTATCTTCCATTCCACCAAATAGTTGGCCCTTGCAAAACACTACTGGGCAATATTTATAAATTTTACAAGGAAAATACAAAATGAAATTAAAAGAGCAAAAACATTCAGCTTGTGTAATAGCTATGAATCAAGAAAAATGACTTTATAAAAATCTTGAATCTAAGTTATATATTATATCCCCTGTTTGAGATCACAGTAATCTTTACAACAAAAATCAATATTTTGGGCACAACTTTAAATGGGCTGATATCTACCCTAGTTTGGAGCCATTCTAACATGTAATATGGTCAAAGGCAGAGTTTTTGCTCAGGTTAAGACACGGCTCTTCACACATAACAATACAATATTACATCTGACACCTGAATCAAAGCAGGCTAAGACTTTCTTTTGTGAAAAAAAAATACAAAATGCTTCCATGTTTACAGTGTCACCTTTACACAGATTAGGCTCTCATTATCTTCCAAAAATGGACTTTAATTCTAATTCCATTCTGAAGAGTAACACAAAATTCTATATATAACTTATTGACAACTGGTAACTTCATCCAGCTATAAAACATCAAAGGACATGAATAGATGCCAATTAAGTGTGTTATTTATAGACAAATCCAGGATTTTGCTATAAGTGATTTTTAGTTTGGATAACACTACCTTTGCAAAGAGCTGCCCTAACTTTTACATTTACCCAAGTTTAACTTTTTTAAAGTACAATTTAGAGTCCAGAGTGTATGTGAACAGGTCTGCCTGGGTTAACAAAAATCAAAGGATAGCCTGAAATCCTATACACTGAGGAAACAGTGTTAATGGTCAGAAATTGACTTAGTTAAAGCAAACAGATGTAAGACAGGTTTTCAAATGACAGTGTGGCCTTTCTATGTAAGATACAATACATAAAAGAGCGCTTCTTGGTTATCTTGCTGGTAAACTTACAAAAACTTTCATTTTGTAAACTTTTACATAACACTTAGACAAGACTTAAACAGATATAATTCTCAGATGCATACATACACCTAGTTACATATATTTAGGGTGTCAACTATATTGTTATAATGGAAGAGTTTCTTTTAACCAGTTACAAAATAATTTATGACTTTAAAAAAGATACAATATATTCTTTGATATGCCCATGCTAATTCACAGTGTGGGGAGCTACTGAAGAATAGTTAGTTACTTTAGATTTGATAGAGGGGAGAAAAGGGAGGGGAGGGGCAATGGGGTAGGAGGGACAGTAGAATGAATCAGACATTACTACCCCTATGAACTTATATAACAACAAAATGGGTGAGATTCTACATCATGTAAAACCAGAAAAATGAGAAATGGTATACAGAGCTCGCCCCCCCCCACAACCAAGTTCCAGGGGTCTCCCCCTGAAGATGAGAGTCCCCTCTACTCTGGCAGCGATGGTATACAGAGTTCCCCCTGACACCCAGGTTCAAGGGGTCTCCCCCCAGGAGGGAGGAGTCCCCTCTACCCTGGGGGCAATGGTCTACAGAGCTCCACCTGACACCCAGGTTCGAGAGTCTCCCCCTGGAGAGGGGAGTCCCCTCTAAGCTGGGTGCTGT